GTGTTCGAAGGCCCGCACGGAGTAGTACCGGATCGACCCATCCGCCACGAGATCATCCTCGAGGACGGGGCCGTACCTCCACGCGGTTGCATCTACCGAATGATCGAGCAAGAGTTAAGTGTGCTTCGGGCACAACTCGACGACCTTCTGGAGAAAGGCTGGATTCGGCCTAGCTCATCGCCATACGGTGCTCCTGTCCTCTTCGTCCGGAAGAAGAACAAGGACATGCGGTTGTGCATCCATTATCGCAAGCTCAACGCGCAGACAATCAGGAACGCCGGCCCTCTCCCACGCATCGACGACCTTCTCGAGCGACTGGGCGGCGCCAAGTTTTTCTCCACGCTAGACCTCAAGTCGGGATATCACCAACTCGAGATTCACAAGGAGGACCGTTACAAGACTGCGTTTAAGACGCGATATGGGCATTTCGAATGGCTGATTATGCCATTTGGCCTTACGAATGCCCCGGCCACTTTCCAAGCGGCTATGACAACGGAGTTCCGACATATGCTGGATCGTTTCGTACTTATCTACCTCGACGACATTCTGGTCTACAGCCGGAGTTTGGAGGAGCATGTGGAACACCTGCGCACCGTTTGGAACGGCTACAACAAGCCAAGTACAAGGCCAACCGCGACAAGTGCGAATTCGCACGACAGGAGCTGGAGTACTTGGGACATTATGTGACGCCGCAAGGCATCCGTCCGCTTGCGGACAAGATCGAGGCCCTACGAGCATGGCCCGAGCCCACCAACACCACGGACGCTCATTCATTTATGGGATTGGCGGGCTACTATCAGCTATTCATCACCGGATACTCAAGGATTGTTGCACCTATGATGAGGTTACAGTCGCCAAAGGTGCTATTCGTATTCGATGACGACGCACGGCGGTCACTCCAAGCACTTAAGACGGTCATGCTCATGGCACCCGTCCTAAGCATCTATGACCCCACCCTGTCGACGCGAGTGACTACGGACGCTTCCGGCTATGGCATTGGGGCAGTCTTGGAACAGCACGACGGTGACGACTGGCACCCTGTGGAGTATTTCAGCCACAAAGTGCCTCCCATCAACTCGCTGGATGATGCAAGGAAGAAGGAGCTGCTCGCATTCGTCATGGCTCTCAAGCGATGGCGGCACTTCCTCCTTGGCCGTCGTAGGTTCACATGGGTTACAGACAACAATCCATTGACCTACTACAAGACGCAGGATACGGTGAGCAGCACGATCGGACGATGGATGTACTTCATCGACCAGTTTGACTTCACACCGAAACATCTTCCCGGCCTCTCAAATCGCGCGGCAGATGCACTCTCGCGAAGACCTTATCTTTGCGCTATGACACATCATGCCTTCGCATTCGACGAGGAGCTTCAGCGACACTTCATTCGGGCATATGAATCTGATCCAGACTTCGCCACGTTGTATGCACAGCTATCCTTGGATCACCCGCCGGCCAGCGATTACCGCATCGCCGACGGGTACTTGCTCCTCCACTCGAGAGGCAAGGACTTACTATGTGTCCCACGCGACCGTCGTCTTCGGACTCGCCTCCTCGGCGAGTATCATGATACGCGACTCGCCGGCCATTTCGGAGTCAACCGCACTATTGCACGGCTTCGACAGCGATTCCGATGGCCCGACCACATTACCGATGTCACTCGGTATTGCGACTCTTGCGAAGTTTGCCGACGCAGCAAGCCCCGCAACCGCAATCCCTACGGCGAGTTGCACCCGATGCCTATCCCACAAGAACCCGGTCTCTCCATTGCCATGGACGTCACCGGTCCGTTTCCTCGCGACCGGCTCGGGCACGACGGCATCCTCACGGTTGTGGACCGATTGAGTAAGTACGCGCGTTTTCTCCCTTGCAAGTACTACTCCACGGCTCCCGAGCTTGCACGCCTCCTRCACACTGGTTGGATTTGTGGCCACGGTGTACCAGAAGACATTGTCAGCGACCGCGATACCCGTTTCATGTCGGCATTTTGGACTGCTCTCATGCAGGAGTCCGGCACAACAATGAAACCAAGTTCGGCTCGGCATCCACAGACAGACGGGCAGACGGAGCGGGCACATCAAACCGCTTAAATGATGCTCCGTACGCTCATCTGTCCGGACCAGAAAGATTGGGTTGACCGCCTCCCCGACATCGAGTTCGCCTACAACACTTTGGTGCATCCGACGATAGGTGTGACTCCATTCGAGTTGCAGCACGGTGGACGGAAAGGCCGGATCTTCGCCGACCTTTTTCTCCCTCGACCAGCCGGAATTGACGCTGCCTGCTCTCCCGCTTCCGTCCGGAAGTACAGGGAATTGCTGACTCAAGCCCGCGCAAACATGCAAAAGGCTCAAGTCCGCATGCAGYAGCAAGCCAACAGGCGTCGCGTACCATGTTCCATCCGTGCCGGTGATTTGGTTTGGGTCTCTGCGGAAGAGTTTGCACTGGAACAGGATGTTTCACGCAAACTTCTTCCCAAGTGGTTTGGACCATGGTCTGTGACAGCAGCCGCGGGCGATGAGCCCGATGACCCTTCATTTGTGATCAACATTCCAGAGCATCGGACGGTCCATCCGGTCTTCCACGCCTCGAAGCTGGCAACATACACGCCAGCCAAGAGCGACGACTTTCTGGGCCGACGATCGCAGGACCCTCCTTCTATGGATGGTCATCAGGAAGTTGACCTCGTCATCACCGATCGCAAGTACGGCAGCAAGCCGCGRCAGTACAAAGTCACGTTCAAAGCATGTGATCGCGACGCAGATTTGAAAGCATCCGCACCGCTGATCTACGCGCATTATGAAAAGCGCAGGTTAGCTCAGGAAGCTTCACGACCAGCCCCTCCCACCCGGACTGTGGTCCCTCCCTCAGACAGACAGCTTCGCCCTCACAGGTAAGCTCGGTTCTTCAAGGAGGGGGGCGTGTGGCATACTGCGTAGCCACACGGGCCCTGCAGGGCCCGTCCCGGACATTCAGCCTAAAAGCCTAAAACTTAGGGCTTACAGGCCCCGGTCGTTTCAGCCTGAAAGCTGAAAAAACGAGGGTCTGCAGGCCCTACTCCGTTTCAGCCTATTTCTGGGCCTTTCAGGCCCAGAGGTTTTCCAGCCTGAAACGGAGGTTCTTTTTCAAGCCCTCATTGTTTTGACCACCCCTAAGACTCAGGCACGAATACAGGGTTTTGGAACAGGCAAGAAATAGCCTGTTCCTCACGAGCTTGAGTAGGAGCTGCAGCTGCAGCCCCTAACTCCCTTCGGCATTGGCAAGAGCAGCCTCCCGAACTGCTCGCACGGCTCAGGAGGCACACCCGGTAGTACATAGGAAGTTCCCATGCACTTCACGGGTAGGTAGTTGTCAGTAGGCACGGGTAGTC